TCGTTGCATTGCATATAGAATGTTGCATATACGTTCAAATCATTCAGGGCACATGACAAACCATGTGTCCCAATACAACTTACAAATAATGTACTCATCATCTGTACACACCAATCCATTTTCAACACTACTAACTCATCACCCTTCCAGACTTGTAGTAGATTTACTAAAGCTCCGGAGCTTCAAAGGGCTCCCATACAGGTATCATACATACACCTTCAAGTATCATACATACACCTTCAAGGAATATAGCATGTCCTCACTTACAGTCAGCACACAGAACCATCGGCTGTAAACACACTCATAGCCAAGAATAACAGAGGGGTTTTTACTTGGGTTTTCCAATCTCCACCATTTACAGCATGGCGCCAAACACAAACACATTGGTATTGTCACAAGGGAATCTTCCCTTAAACAAAGACTAACCATAGACTTATTGGCACCACACACATTCGCTACCCCAAGTCTCAACTCCCTCATACCCTCCGAAGAGTTTCCTTACTATACACACCATTGATCTACCTTTACAGCTATCACTCAAGCATGGGTTGAAGCTTGGTTAAGTAAGACCAATATCATCAACACAGTAAATGGCTACCATCTACCCCACACACTGGCACTTACATGGCATAAAAATAGGCAATTCTTTCCCCACTAAAAGCAGCTCCTGTGGAATGGGGTAAATCATGGTCAGGGTCATCAATCCATTGTTACTCAGACAACTAAGCACATGGCATATCATCAACAACTTCGCCATGAGACGAGCGTTCATCTCACGTCTACTCGGTTTGTTACCCAACTTACCCAACAACAACAGCAGGGTTACACTGAACATTCAGGCTAGGGCGCATCTGACCAGGTGGTACCATTTCCTGTCGGACTGGAATGGGAGAAACTTGTTCATACCACCGTTGACAAACTCCCCTGTGTTATGGACGGATGCTGCAGGTTACGCAGGTTTCACAGCCATCTTCGAAGACAGGTGGTTGAGGGACGCTTGGCCTAGCAAAGCACTAGGATTACCCACTTTCACAAAGACTTCGGCACTGTTTGAGATCTACCCCATAGTGGCAGCAGCTAAAGTCTGGGGCCACTTATGGGGAGGCAAAGCTGTCAAATGCTACTCTGACCACATGGCGGCTTGCGAGATTCTGAACAAAGGCAGGTCTTCTTCACTAACCATCATGAACCTGGTCAGGAGACTCACATGGTTGGCAGCCACACGAAAAAATTTTTTTTTTTTTTTTTCCTGACTTGCATACACGTGCCAGGTCACCATAATTCAGCAGCTGACACACTATCCTGTTCAAAATTACAGGTTTTCAGACAGCTACACCCAACAGCAGAGGAACAGCCAAGAAGGCGCCGCTGTTCAGAGACCTCATCCTGGACTAAAATTACTCATGGAGCACGGGAGGGCACTAGAACAGGCCTCACTTTCCCCAAACACCAGACGCATGTACAACCGAGCCTTAATGTTATTCAACAAATTTGTTTCAGAATACATCATTACGAATCCTTATAGGTTAGATACTATGGTGGCTTTCACCTCTTTTTGCCATCTCAACTTGAAACTGGCACACAACACCATAAAACTCTATTTAACTGGAATACAGCATCATGTAAGCAACACATATTCCAGTATAAAAAACTTCCTATCAGCACACCCCATTAAAATATGCTAAAAGGCATCCAACGCCTAGAAAACCTAAAACCTACTAGATGGCTACCAATTGACGCAGAGAATTCAGGGCATTGTCTGACATGTTAGATACCAAACCCTTTGATAATCACACCAATAACACACTCAAAACAGCCATATACCTGGCATTTTATGCATCCCAACGAACTCACCTTAAACAACATCAACAATAAGGGAAATATACTGTGTGTCACACATAAACATAATAGGTGATCACTACACATTGACATTAAGACATTCAAACGAATCAAATGGGTCCGCACCTTGACATTCAATTTTACCCAACTGGCAATCATTGGTGCCCCGTACAACTATTCGACAAATACATGGCAGGTATGGCTTATCAACCCAAACAAGCTCCTCTCCTCACAATATACAGTCAACCCCTGACTACATCAAAATTCGTCAAATACGTGAGATTATTATGTACAAGAATCGGGTACGATCCCACGGCATATACAGGCCACTCCTTTCGTATCGGAGCGGCAACATCAACCTCCAGCCAAAACGTACCAGTTCATATTACCGTTACATACCTCAACCTGAGAAAGAGTTGAGACAAGCTTTTAAACAATTGGCAAAGTAGGGAAGCTCGGGTAATAATGTATGTGTATACGTATTAAGTGTGGAACTGATACTTCTCTTTTGCCCTCTTTATTTACAGGCTGACCCGTTCGTCGGTTTCGGCACACTACAACCGACTTAGTATATTAGACTAATGATTAGAGGTATAGGTCCACATAAATACGGCCTTCTTCCCTGACCACAAATGGGAAGGCGGAGCCTGGAGTTGTGGGAGGGGTTGCAACCGGCCTATATAAACCCACTACTTACCTCCATACCTTGCTGACAGTGCTTGGTCACTTCCTGTTGCCCCACCCACCACTCCACAAAAGGAATCAATTAATTGGTTGGCCCTCTTTATTTACAGGCTGACCCGTTCGTCGGTTTCGGCACACTACAACCGACTTAGTATATTAGACTAATGATTAGAGGTATAGGTCCACATAAATACAGCCTTCTTCCCTGACCACAAATATATATATATAAAAAATAATTCACAAAATTATATATATATATATATATATATATATATATATATAAAAATAAAAAATAAATGTATCCCCTGCACTCATGCTTACAAAATAATCCAATGCCGGGCGCACCACCAGAGCTCCAAGAGATGTAAAAACCAACAAGAAGGAAGGCTACTCTCCGGACTTTAAAACAAAAAGTTTATTCAAATAATATTAAAAAATTACGACCAACGTTTCGGTCCCCGTTCAGGACTTTCCTCAGGGTCAAAAATAGGACAACAAGACAATACAGTATAGTGCATCAGTGAACAATAAATACCGAAATATACAATCAAATTACTCACTCACGTGTGTTCCCGTATGTTCCCGCCAGCACCCTGTGCTCTTCCGGATATGCGCGTGCATCCTTGTGCGTCACGCCCTCTCAAATTACGTGCCTACGTGTCGGATCTCCCGTCACCCGGACAACTATGTAAACAAAGCAACCTGCTAATACAAACCAGTGCAGCGATCGGAACAAGGGATAGAACTATATGTATAAGTGTAAGGACATGAAAGTGCCTAAAAGTGCACCTGAGTGAGTAATTTGATTGTATATTTTGGTATTTATTGTTCACTGATGCACTATACTGTATTGTCTTGTTGTCCTATTTTTGACCCTGAGGAAGGTCCCGAACGGGGACCGAAACGTTGGTCGTAATTTTTTAATATTATTTGAATAAACTTTTTGTTTTAAAGTCCGGAGAGCAGCCTTCCTTCTTGTTGGTTTAGATATATATATATATATATATATATACACACACACACACATATATCTATATAATAATTCTACGTATATATTTATGTAATAGTTTTACATAATTAGGTCATTTTATTAATTACAATTTGCAGGACCTGCCTGACAACCCATGCCGAAAGTCCAGGGAATTTAATTTGCTGGCACTATATTTAACCCTATAACTTTCCAAGAAAACACCATAAAACCTGTACACGGGGGGTACTGTCTTACACGTGAGACTTTTCTGAATACAAATATGTGTATTTTATTGCAGTAAAAGCAAACCGTATTATGACATTCACAGTTAAAATGTCATGTAGAACTAAAACATTTGTAAAAATTCTTATTTTCACCTAATTTATTTATATTTTATTCATATGAAATTACGTTTCATACCTAAATATTTCATGTTAAATGAAAGCTCTGTTTCCCCTGAATAAAATGATATATAATAAGGGTGGGTGCATTTAATATGAAAGAGGTGAATTACGGTTGAACAGACATATAGCGCAAATTCCAGTTTTTGTTTACGTTTTGTTTTGATCACAACGTGTACATTTGGCTCACTACGGTGTTCTATGCCGTCCCGCTTTAATTGGGCTTTAAAGCCGTTGCGGCGGCATAGAACGCCGTAACGGCTTTGAGCCCTGGAGCGCCCGGTATATTCACCTTACCGTCGCAAACACTGGCCAAATATTAGTTTTTTGCTTTTTTCACACAAAAACAAATATGAACGCTAACTTTGGTCAGTGTTTGTGACCAAGTGGCTACTAAAAAAGACTAAACATACCCCACTTTCGATACCTTGGGTTGTCTACTTTTTCAAATGGTATGCCTTTATGGGGGTAATTCTCATTCCTGGGCTACCACACCCAGGGCCGGTGCAAGGATTTTTGCCGCCCTAGGCAAAAGAAAGATTTGCCGCCCCCCCGCCGGGGCCTCGCAATGCCCCACCCATATGATCTGCCATATGAACTAGTGCCAGTGCTGCACACAGTGTGTGTTTACATTAAAAAGCCTGCAGGGACAAACTATAGAAACCAGAACAACTTTATTAAGCTGCAGTGGTTCTGGGGACTATAGTGTCCATTTATTGTGAGGTAAATTAGAGATTAGTGTCACTAATAATATACTAGATTGCCTACTTACAATCAGATGAGGATGATGATGGGCTGGCTGCAGTCTGGCTCCACTGGTCTGGTGTAGAACAGGATCTCTGGAGGCTGTTTGTAACTGTGGTCACAAAATTCAATGTTCTGGGAGAACGGGAAGCAGCTCAATTTTGTGGGGCCTCTTACATAGCTCAAGGTCTGGGCCCCAGGGCCTGACGGTGAGTATGCCCATAAAGCCCACCCATAAGTCCACCTACATGAGTCCGCTCACAGGGAGTAGAGTGTGTAGGGGATGTGTTATGTGTTACTGTAGAGGATCTAATGTGTGTGCTTATGGAATGTAGTGTATAGGGATACCAGTTTGTGTAGGTGATGCAGTGTGTTTGTGTGTAAGGGATAGAAAGCAGTGAGTGTTTGTGTATACGGGATGTATTGTGTGTTTGTCTGTAAGGGGTGCGTTGAGTGTGTGTAAGAGATGCATTGTGTTTCTGTGTGTGTGTAAGAGAAGCAGTGTGTGTTTGCATATGTGTGTAAGGGATGCATTGTGTGTTTCTGTGTATGTGTGCAAAGGATGCATTGTCTTTATGTCTAAGGGTTGCATTGTGTGTTTCTCTGTGTGTAAGGGAAGCATGTTGTGTTTCTGTGTGTATAGGGATGCATTGTGTGTGTGTGTGTGTGCGCGTGGTGTGAAAGAGCTCCCTGTCCTGCCCCCTGTCCTATAGAGCTCTCCCTTAGAGATCTCCCCCGCCCCTTAGTGGTCTCTCCTCTCCCCCCCCCCACCTCCCTTAGTGGTCTCCTTTTCTCCCCGACTTTCCATTAGTGGTCACTCCTCTCCCCCCACCCTCCCCTAGTGGTCTATCCTCCACCCCCCTCCTTTAGCGGTCTCTCCACCGCCCCCTCCCTCCTTTAGTGGTCTCTCCCTCCCCTACGTTCTCATCTCCCACCCCCCGTGTTCTCCTCTTATTCCCCCCTCCCCGTGTTCTCCTCTTCTTCTCCTCTGTAATCTTCTCTTCTTCTCCCTCCTCCCTGTAACCTTCTCCACTCCCCCTCCCTCCCTGTAATCTTCTCCCCCCCCTATAATCTTCTCCCCCCTCCCCTATAACCTTCTCCACTCCCCCCTCCCTCCCTGTAATGTTCTCCCCCCTCTTATAATCTCCCCCCTCCCTCCCTGTAGTATTCTCCCCCCCTCCATCTTCCCCTATAATCTTCTCCCCCCCTCCCTCCTATAATCTTCTCCCCTCAATAATCTCCTCCCCTCAATAATCTCTCCCTAATTTCCCCCCACTCCTATAATCTTCTCCCCCTCCCTATAATCTCCTCCCCACTCCAATAATCTCCCCCCCCTCCCTCCCTATAATGTCCTCCCCCCCTCAATAATCTCCCCTCCACTTTCCCACTGTGTCCTCCCCTCCCAATCTCCCCC